TAAGGGTGAAATATGTTCCCATAGAACTCTTCTATCAGCCTGTTCCTCTGCTCTAAAGTGGCTTTTCCATTATATGCGTCCTCCACAATGGCTGATGCTTCTGCCTGCCACAGCATCTTCCTCATGGGGCCTTTAAAACTTCTCATTGTCTCTGCAATCTGTGGTTGACTTCCATACCCAAGACATTTCTTTACAGTATTTCTGGAGTATTTGGCTTTACTTAATTCAACCAAATTATCTCCCAATTCTTCGAAAGCCTGTTTTGACTATTCTTCATTACCACACTGAATGTAACACTGGATTGCACGGGTTTAATCATGTGCAAATACAATTGTTTGTTTGTTTGAGACAGAGTCTTGCTTTGTCCCCCAGGCTGTAGTGCAGTGGCAGGATCTTAGCTCACTGCACTCTCTACCTTCCAGGCTCAAGGATTCTCATGCCTCAGCCTCCTGAGTAGTTGGGATTACAGGAGTGTGCCAACATGCCCGACTAATAAATGCAACAGTTTTAATTTTCCCTTGAATCAACTTCTGCAAGTCATTCATTAACTTTACTCTTTTTTGTTTGTCACAGTCATTTCTTCTTAAAGTCTTCCAAATGTGCTTTGCTCACACAACAGTGTCATAGTTTTATCACTGAGTTGCCTGCTTTGCTTCAGTTCTTTTTCTTTTTGAAGTCATCCCATTTGGGTTTCTTGGCTGTTGATTCACCACTTTCGCCATCTGGCTGGAGTTTTCTCTTCTTGTTGAATTTATTTGCTGGCTGGAATTTGCTCCTTCGTGCCTTGTCCAAATTGTTGCTTACTCTTCAACTGCTTCTCACCCTTTTCCCCTGGTTTTGGGACACTTTTCTCAAAGTTCTTAGATGTGATTTTAGATCCACCTTTCTTAGCAACTTTTCTTGGAAATGTCTTTGAAGAACCAGAATCTCAGGTGTTTACAAAATCTGTTTTCTTTTTCTGTGATGCCTTTGTACCCTTCCCTGTGAATTGTTGTTTCCCCTTTGACTTCCATTGTAGCAACTTGCACACATGGGTTGACCATATACTGACTTTTTAACCATAAAACTTAAATGTTACTTAGCCTAATATTACTTTGCCTAACGTGCCTTAAATGTTACTTAGCCTAATATTACTTAGCCTAATATGCCTTAAATGTTACTTAGCCTAATATTACTTTGTGTTCACATTTGAAGTATGATCTTTGTTCCATTTTTATCTTTAGCTCTTTGAGGGGGAGGAGGCTGTCATTTTTCTTTTGGATGTGCCAATTGTTAATCAAGAAAAGTGACCGGGACAAGTCTCATTCATTTCTGGAGGTTTATTTGCCAAAGTTAAGGACACGTGACCGGGAAACCGGTCTATGCCTTTCTCTGAAGATGATTTTGAGGCCTTCAATATTTAAAGGGGAAATGGCACGATATTGAGAAATACACAATATTCATGTGAGAGAGGTAGGAGAAAATAGTCATTCTTGCCTTTGTCTGGCTCAGTGAATTTGCATGTTTGCATAAGATTAATGTAGACAGTAGGGCAGAAGAAACAGTCATATATGCATATGTCTCAAGTGGGCAGAGGGGTGATTTTGAGTTCTGTCCTATGTCCCCCAAACCTGTGAAGAAAAGCTTTCAATTCATGTTGCCATGATGCACTTTAACAGAAATGCTTTAGGGTGAAGATCTTGGGGCCCACAAGGAATTTCCTTGTGGTCAAAATGTGAGGGAGGTATGCAACTTTTCATCTTTGTAGCCATCTTATTTAGGAACCAAAATGGGGGAGGCAGGTTTGCATGACCTAGTCCCCAGGTTGACTTTTCCTTTTGGTTTAGTGAGTTCCGGGCCCTAAGATTTATTTTACTTTCACATTCCTCCCTTTTAAAAAAAAAAAAAATTTTATTTTTTTTTTTGAGAAAACGTTTTAGAAGGAAAATGTGTCTCTGAGTCTCAGCTTGCTGTTTTGTTTTTCTTTTTGAGCTGGTCTCTCATTGCTAGGATGGTTTATTCCCAGAAATTCAGGTTCCGCCTTGCTAAGAAGGTTCATTTCTAGAAGATTATGTCCCATGAAGATTAAAATAGGGAGAGGAGAGAAGGAAAAAGGAAATTAAAAACATAGGGACCTAGATCAGATATATAGCAGCAAAGGGTAAAGCAAACCTGGGAGCTGGGTCAGGCTATGCTACTGCCTCCTCAGTTAGAGCAATTCTTTGGGCAATCATTACTCTAGTCCTTTCAGTTGAATGTTGTGTAATCTGCACATACCGCAACAACATTGTAAACAAAAACAGGACATAACACAAATTATTATTATTATTCCTATTAGAAGCAATAGCTTCTGCCACCAATTTCCCTAGGAACTAAACCAACCACTCAACTAATCCATTAGTGAGCGTTTTGGATCTGACAGATTGGTTATCTGGGTTTTCATATCAGTCATAAGTCAGGTTATGCTATTTAATTTATCTGGAATATAAACACAACATTCAGTTTTTATGATGGTGCAGATTTCCCCTTGGGCTGTAGTGAGTACGTCTAAGGCCATATGGTTTTGCAGCACAGCTTTTCTCATAAGTTAGACAGATACCCATGCGGCTATCATTTAGAACCTTTTGTGTGTAATTTGTTAAGACCTCTCTATGCCATATAACATCTTTATTACCTACTTGTGGTATGAAGTTTGAAGCTAAGTGGCCATACCATTGGAATACAGAATGTGTCCAGCGAGACTGTAAATGAAAAAGGTTTGCTGGTTCTGGCAGGGTCCTTGTGCCCAGGCATAACTTAGGGAACATCATCCTAACCATCCTGCAGATAACCAAGGCCATAAGTTAGAGCTACATGGCCAGTATGTTCCATTTGGAGCTAGCCAATAAATACCTGGTTGCTGCCCCCAATCGGTGGCCTGCCAGTCAGTGTCTCGTAATATGATAATGTGGTCACAACGTTCTCCAGGTATCCACCCCATATCTCTTGTAGTGTTTGACCACTGGTCCTTGGGGTGTTTTCTTTGTTCCAAGCATAAAGGAGCATTTTGGCTGAGATAGCCAAATGAAGCGATGAGCCAGATAAACCCATCCCAAATCTGCATTATACCATTTTGAAAATGGGCTGTTTGGGGCATGGTTACCACCTTCTCTTTTAGTTGAGGGGATGCTAAAGTGAGAGCTAGTGAGCTGGTCCTTTTCCCTTGAAAATCTTTTCCCATGTCCCTGCTCTTAAGAGTGTTTATAATGGGCCAATTATATATATTTAGTCTTTTGTTATGCTTATCCAGCACTAAGGATACCAGACCGTTTCTGAGATGTAATAAATTTTAGCATTCTATCTAGTCCTGACCGTGGAAGGGGGATACCCACCATGGCAGGCTGGAGCCACTGGAAAGAGATATGATCCGCATATCAAGCAGGCATCCTTTTATAATCTGTCTGCATAATCCTGAGCTCATCGTAAAAACAGATTTGTCTATGGGCAACAATGGGTGACAGTGGCAAGAAGGTGTAGAGACATAGGGTAAATAGGAGCAAGGTTGTGAAATTCATTTTAACTACTAAAAAGACATTAAATCAGACAAGGCAAGTGCCCTGTTCTGCATAAGATAGCAGTTGCCAGTATCTCTAGGACAGTAATTGTAACAGCTATTATGCAATACACATAGGTGTTCTTTTGTATACAGGCCTGGTACTGTGTCTTGGGTTTAAGATGTCCACAACAGCTATCATCTGCTTCTAGTGCTGGATTGAAGGTCAATGTTTAGTGAACTGGAGGTGAATATCTTTGGTAGGAGTTACAGTCTATTCAGGAGGTTGTGCCTTTTTAAGATGAGATGTAAATCCATGAGTTTATACCCTCTGATTTTGCAGTACATGGGTTAGTTAACAGTACTTGGTATGGCTTCTTCCATTGAGGTTGGAGGGAGTCCTTTATTAAATGTCTTGTCCAATAGACAAAGTCTCCAGGCCGAAGATCATAACCAGGAACCTTGTCTTCAGGGAGTGGGCTATGAAAGGAATTCTTTACCAAATCTTGGCTTTTGTAAAGACAATGAATGGGTCCCTTACAATACTGCAATATATCTCCCTTGAGAAATGTTGGATTCGTTATTTTGGTTCCCATACACATGGGTCTTCCTGTTATAATTTTATAAAGGGAAAGCTGATGCTTTCCAAGGTGGACCAGAGTATAATGAGTACTTTAGGCCAATGGAGATGAAATCCATTTATGAACTTAGTCAATTGTGTTTTAATTATTCCACTGGTCCTTTCCAGTGGCCCTGAGGACTGAGATGGTAGGCACAATGGAAATGTTGAAATATGGGCCAAATTTTACAAATATTTTAAATAACTTGGCCAGTAAAATGAGTTCTCCTATCCCTGTGACGTTCACAGTGGACGCCCCATGGGGAATAATTTTTTCTAATAGGATTTTCCAACTTCCTGCTGTTGGTTTCCTGCAGGGAAAAGCTTCAACCCAATGGAAAAACATGCAGACCATTACTAAAACATGTAACCTTGAGAGGATGGCAGCTGGATTAAAATTAAGCTGCCATAATGACCCTGGGCCTCATGGAGGAGCTTCCCTGGATTATATTTAGGACAAACAACACACTGGGAGTAAACCTTCTGTGCCACTGTGGAGGATGATTTCCAGTAACATCGTTTACACTAGGATATAATTTTATCTGGATTCCAATGTGTCAGATTATGAACATATTCCATAAGGGGCATCTGACATCCCATTGGAATAATGATTTAATATTAGGTCCAATATTTTAGTTTCAGGACTTTTGTTGGGGCTATACTCTAGGTTTCCTTCAACATGTTTTTAAGTGTTTCAGGCTTTATGGCCATTTCTTGGATTGGGGCTAGTGGCTTTAATGTTGCTTTTTTAGCTGTAGCAATAGCAAATTGGTTACCTCCAGTTTTAGTGGTGTCCAGTGTAGAGTGACCTGGGATTTTTTATAGTCTTCAAAAGTTTTGATTGAAAATAGTTTCTTTTTTTTTTCACAGTTTAATTGCTCTATGCATTTATTATTAGCTATTATTAATGCAGAACAAGGGGACAAAAAGCTCACAAACACTCTACACAATTTCAGAAGACGCATTGCAGGGGAGAGAAAGACTGAGATGGATCAACAGTATGCTAGGGTCTTGGTGGACGCATTCCTGGGGGAGGTGGACCTCTAATGCCTGGTGGAGGGGGTCTCATTCCCGGAGGGGGCATACCTATTGGTGTCCCTCGAGCAGGGGGAAGCCCAATTGGTGGGCCCATGGGTGGTCTCATACCAGGTGGAGGAGCCATAATGCCTGGAGGTGGGGTTGCTCTCCCGACAGGTGGGGGCGGAGTTCCCCGTCCTGGTGGGTACTGTGTTGGGGCTCCAGCAATGCTGGCAGTCGCAGCAACAGCGGCAGCTGCTACAGTGCCTCTTCCCTGTGGAGTCATTACCTGCTTGGATGGGCCTCCAACTCCTCGGACAGGGCCTGCTAATCCAGCAGGGGCCTGGGGAATTGGCACACCAGCTGGTACTCCTCTACCAGCTGCCCTACCAACCCCAGGGCCTCCTGCAGCTCCAGCAAGTGGTACCCGAGCAATGCCAGTATCTTTGGGGGGTGGCCCCTCCACAGTCATGGATACCAAGTTCTCCCCACGTAGCAACACCAGACCCAAAACCCGCTTTTCTTCACGCTCTGGTTGCTTCGCATTCTTTGGCTTGATCTTTCTGAACTCATCACAATCACAGAGGATCAAATTCATATGCTTGTCAAAAGCCTTAAAGGTGCCAATGAAGATTCGGCCATCTTGTAGGATGCATCTCATTCTATAGTCAATGTGCTGCAGCATCTTGCTACTCTTGCCCACAGTCATGATTGCTGTTCCACCAAATCCAATGTCCATAGTTAACACCTGATGCTTCTGAAGACCTAGGGGAAGGCTCTAGATAAAGGGATGATGCAGGTTCTCCTAGAAACATTGCAAGCTGGCCAGAAGCTTCAAAGAGCAGATGGAGCCTGGTTTTTGCTTGGAATCAAGATTCCTCGCTATTCCAATATGGCTTTAACCACCTCTTGGTGTCTCAGCTAAGAATGCCTGCCTCAGTTCAGCCTGGAAATCCACCACAGGTACTTGCTGCTGCTGAGAACGCCTCGGGTACAACTTACACTCTTGGTTGCTCAGCGAGGCAGTCCTTCTACGTTTGACTTGGACCTCCACCTCTGGTACGTGCTGTTCTGTAGTCCGTCTCAGGTGTAAGCGATCCCTTGCCCGCTCCATCGCGCCACTGACCGCTCCTCAAACCAAGGCGTCAGACATCTCCAGCGGCCGCTCCACTCTGCGCAAGACTCGCTGCCGCCGCAGCTGCAGGCTTCGCGCACTGAAAACAGTTTCTAACAGCTCTGATATTTGGTCGTCCATTCTTTTTGGGTTGCCCTGAGGAGATTAAATATCCTCTCTCCTTCCACATTCCAAAGTCATGAGCACTCCAAAGGCATAGCAGCTGTTAGCCTAAGTTCGCAGCCTTGTCTTTCGCCAGTAGACAAGCTTGAGCCAGGGCAATCAATTCGGCCCCTTAAGCTGATTTGGCTTGGGGAAGAGGACCGGGTTCAATAGCCTCTAGTAAAGAAACCAGAGCATACTCTGCTCTAAAGTTTCCATCCTCCCCTCTTAAATAAGACCCATCTGCATACCATTCTATCTCAGCATTATCCAGTGGCATCTCTTGTAGGCAGGTCCTGGGAGTGAGAAGTTGGTCAGTCATCAGAACATAGTCATGAGGGGTTTCATCAGAAAGACCAGGTAAAAGAGTATACGTTAATTAGTTGGAGCATATTATGTCAGTCAAAGTGCATAAAATAATTTAAAACTGATTCATTTGGGTTCTGGTGGCTTCGCTGGATTTTATTCCAATCCACAACCCTTAGGAATATTGAAGAAATGATATTTAACAGAGCAGCGGCTCACTGCCATGCATCTTTGTTCCTGTGTTCTCGACTTCTGGCGGCTGGTTATTATGGCTCTATTGGGCCTTCAGGGGATAAGTCTGCTCCAGGGTCTGACCGCTGCACTTTCTCCAGCCATTCCTTAGCTTTAGCTTCTGAGACCAACATGTGTACCAGCTGTTAGAGGTGTGAATGGTCTGGGTCATATATTCTGATAATGAACTCAAATTCTTGGGCAAACACAATTGGATCTTTATGAGGGCCCAGAAATTCTTTATGCCCTGCAACTCAGCCCTTGACCAGGGTTAGTAGACAATCACCGGGGTTCCCCTACGGGTTATCAGTTGTTCCTGAAACAGGGTGATCATGAGCAATGTCCCTGCAGGGTCCCCTTTTCCTCATTTTCCATATGAGAGGCTGCCAATGGTTCTTGTCAGGGAATTGTCAGGAGGTAGGGTCTTAGAAGTTGGACTCCCTACTGCCTTCTGTTGAGTGAGTGGCATCAAGGAGGGGAAGATGGTGAATTGGCACACGTAGGAAGAAGGAACAGATCTGTTCCAGGAAATTTAGAGATGTCAGGGGTAAAGTGGGGGTGTAAGTGGAGGAGGGGAGGTGCCACGGGGAAGTGAGGGATTCTGAGGATTTCTTTAAGAGAGATAGAACATCACAGAGTCCTTGGTTAGCATTTCTAAGTTGTTTGTTGGCTTCTTGTAAGGACATAAGGCGATCTTCCCCCATTTGCTACTCTCTAGGTACCATTGAAAGTAGCTCTCCCATTCTGCTTGTTTAGTTTTTGTGCCTGTGTTTTGCATGCTAGTTCACAGGTACACTAATTTGGGCATCTCAGAAGATCTCCCATCTAGGCCACTGTAAGTATCTGCCTTGGTTATAGTGATCCACTTGATTAAATATTTGCATGACAATTCACCATAAGTGTTTTTGCATATACACGGCTGGAGTTTCTAAGGGTGGAACTTGGTGTTCTGCAGCTATGGGGGTTTTAGCCAACTTAAAGGCCTCCTTCCACATAATTTAGAGTTTTCCTTCAGATTTGACCAAGTTGGAGGGTTTATTGGATCCAAAGAGTGCTGCATGGGGGACCTAGCTTTTCAGGGCCATTACTTCCTGAACCGGTTTGGTCCACCCATATTGTGGCTACCTGGCAGTGTGTCAGGGGCTCAAGGTGCAGGAGATCAGCTACGTATTTGCACCTGCACGTATTCGCACCTGCTAGCTGAGATTGCACCCTAAGTATGTTCTTCTAAGGGGAAATTCTACTCAGAGCCATTGCACACCTTAGGGAATGTTTCTTCCAGACACCCTCATGAAATTCTCAGTTGCCTGAGAATGCCCAGAAAGGCTGAGAGGGGCAAGGTGCTCTTATTTCTTTGGAGAGGAAAATTCCATACTCATAAGCTAGAGGGTTTAGAGTTGGCCAAATCCAGTAAGAGAAGGACTGAAACATACAGAAAAAACCAACAAGACAAAACATCTAAGGAAAACGAACAGCAATCACACAAATCATACAATTTCTGAATGCTCTAAATGTAAGGAGAAATTAAGATCAGCTGGTTGTTAACAGTAACTTTAGTCATTAAAGAGAATTTGCCCTGTAATCCCAGCACTTTGGGAGGCTGAGGTGGGTGGATCACGAGGTCAAGAGATCGAGAGCATCCTGGCCAACATGGTGAAACCCCGTCTCTACTAAAAATACAAAAAAATTAGCCGGGCGTGGTGGCATGTGCCTGTGGTCCCAGCTACTCGCGAGACTGAGGCGGAAGAATCGCTTGAACCCAGGCGGCAGAGGTTGCAGTGAGCCGAGATTGTGCAACTGCACTCCAGCCTGGTGACAGAGCAAGACTCCGTCTCAAAAAAAAAAAAAAGAACTTACAAGACAGAATCCCAACTCAGCTTCTTCCCTTACTAGTGATGAGGCTCAAGCTGAGACTGTTCTCCACTGAGGAAGAAGCAGACAAGGTTGCCTTCTTTGGTGGAAGCAAACAGAAACTCCCAGGAAAAAAAAGAAGGAGTTTTCTTTTTTTTTTTTTTTTTAACAGCAAATTAAACCTCAGACCCCCAACTTCCTGCAGGGAGGAGGTCCCAGACCTCAGCAAATTGTCCTATTGGTTTGGGCTATAAAGAGCCCACGCTGGTACAAGTAGGAAAGCTGCTGCAGACCGGGGCCACCTTCACTCAGGATCCCTCTGTGGTCAATCAAGGAAAATAACCCAGGTAAGTCTCGATCGTTTTTGGAGGTTTATTTGCCAAAGTTAAGGACACACACCTGGGAGATAGGTATATTCCTCTCTCCAAAAATGATTTTGAGGGTTTCAATATTTAAAGAGGAAAGGGAAGGATACTGAGAAATTCCTAATTTTCATGTGAGAGGGGATGGGGAAAACAGTCACTCATGCCTTTGGCTCAGTGAATCTGCATTTTTACATAATGTAGATAATGTAGACAATAGAGCAGAGAAAACAATCAGATCTGCGTTTGTCTCAGGTGGGCAGAGGGATGACTTTGAGTTCTTGCCTGTGTCCCCACACCTGTGGAGAAAAGCTACAGATTCACATGATGAACTTTAACAGAAACAATTGAGAGTAAAGGTCTTGGGGCGCCAAGGAATTTCCTTGTGGGCAAAATGTGAGGGAGGTATGCAGCTTTTCATCTTTTAGCCGTCTTATTTAGGAACCAAAATGGGAGGCGGGTTGGTGTGACCCAGTTCCCAGCTTGACTCTTCCCTTTGGCTTAGTGAATTTGGGGTCCCAGGATTTATTTTACTTTCACACAATTGTAATCAGTAAATCATTTATCTTTTTATCTTTTTAATCTAATTGGGAACTCTGGATTTTTTTAATTCGGGGGAATAAAAAGTATTTTCTAAATTATTATGAATTGGGTTTCATGACAGTTATTGTTTCCATATTCTATTTTGTAGTGAAAGAAATTGTTGTTGGCAAGCTACCAACTTCATTGTTTGCCCAGGTGTTTATACAATGCACTGCTAGACTAATCTCAAAACATCAATTATCGCTGATTTGGGACTTGTTTTAAAATCTGACTCATACTTTAGTACTTTCTAACATTTACACTACTTTGTATAATTTTTAACTTTACTAGTTTGTCCCGTGTTTCCAATTAGACTCCACGTGCTTACTGAGTTTAAGATCATCACAAGACCCTATGAACTTGACTTAAAATATTTTCTTTTGAGCTTTGACTTGACTGTGTTTTATTATTTCCACTGGTTGAGGTATTTTAGTAGGGGAAAAAAGAAAGCTTATATCTTCTCCCTGTATTTGTAACCAGAGCATGATAGGTTCTAAATATCTTAATTGCAAATATTTTTAAGATTAGACTTACTCCTGAGTTTGTGCAGTTTTAAAAAAAATCTGGAAGACTAGAATGTTCACCTCACTGATATCAGGTGGGACCTGCTGATTCATTCCACTGAATCTGGCTATTGTGAAATGGTTGGGAGAGGAAGCCTAATTCCACCCATCCTATGCGCTCAGCTTTCCTCCACATAGAATCTGGGAACACCCAGGCCAGGATTCCTAGTCTCAATCAAGAAAATAATTAAAGAGCAGGCCACTCAACACTCTTCTATAAGACAAAGTTGTTTTTACAATGTTAAGATTGCCTAATTAACAAACCTTTATGTTGTTAATTTCGTTATGTATGGGTTGCTATTTCCTCGATGAAACTGAGACATACATATTAATTTACATGTCTGTAACAGTAGGAAATAATATAGAGCAAAATTTTTTTCTCCTATATGTACTATTTTCACCTTTGGATAGCCTAAGAGAAAAATCCTTATATGGTGATACAAGAACATTCTTCATCAGATACAGAGGAGTCTTTAACCAAGCCATACAACAGCCTTTTATTGACTAGACATATGTTTCAGGACTATCATGAGAGAGAACACCTTTTATTCAATATAGTTGTGGTATA